CCCTCTCTTTCCCACAAACCTGCAACTACTTACCTTCAAATGTTCCATCAATTAGAATTCTTCCCTGAAACACTGGTTCATGATTATCCCAGATAATCATCTGAGGCAGCATAATCGCTCAGCGGTTAGCACTGCTGCCTCACAGTGCCAAGGATTCAGATTTGATTCCACTCTTAGGTAACTGTCTGTATGGAGTTTGCACGTTCTCCCGTTGTCTTTATGTGCTTCTTCCCAGAGTCCAAAGAAGTGCAGGTCTGAGGGATACAAGGGTGGGATGGGTCTGGGTTGGATGCTCTTTGGAGGGTCGGTGTGGACTCAATGGGCTGAATGGCCTGCTTTCACACTGTCAGGATTCTATGAACTTGTGTCAACTGCTGGCTGGGATCCCTGTAATCTTCTGAGATGCATAGATTACACAATTGTTGGAATCATTCAGATAGAAGGTGCATCTCTTCCAGAGTAAAAGAAAACATAGAACATAGAACATAGAACATTACAGCGCAGTACAGGCCCTTCGGCCCTCGATGTTGCGCCGACCTGTGAAACCAATCTGAAGCCCATCTACCCTAAACTATTCCATTATCATCCATATGTTTATCCAATGACCATTTAAATGCCCTTAAAGTGGGCGAGTCTACTATTTTTGCAGGCAGGGCATTCCACGCCCTTACTACTCTCTGAGTAAAGAACCTACCTCTGACATCTGTCCTATATCTATCAACCCTCAATTTAAAGCTATGTCCCCTCATGCTAGCCATCACCATCCGAGGAAAAAGGCTCCCACTGTCCACCCAATCTAATCCTCTGATCATCTTGTATGTCTCTATCAAGTCACCTCTTAACCTTCTTCTCTCTAACGAAAACAGCCTCAAAACCCTCAGCCTTTCCTCATAAGACCTTCCCTCCATACCAGGCAACATCCTGGTAAATCTCCTCTGCACCCTTTCCAATGCTTCCACTTCCTTCCTATAATGCGGTGACCAGAACTGTACGCAATACTCCAAGTGCGGCCGCACCAGAGTTTTGTACAGCTGCAACATGACCTCATGGCTCCGAAACTCAATCCCTCTACCAATAAAACCTAACATACTGTACGCCTTCTTAACAATGCTATCAACCTGGGTGGCAACTTTCAATGATCTATGCACATGGACACCGAGATCTTTCTGCTCATCCACACTACCAAGAATCTTACCATTAGCCCAGTACTCTGTATTCCTGTTACTCCTTCCAAAGTGAATCACCTCACACTTTTCTGCATTAAATTCCATTTGCCACCTCTCAGCCCAGCTCTGCAGCTTATCTATGTCCCTCTGTAACCTGCAACATCCTTCTGCACTATCCACAACTCCACCTTGTTATCAAATATGTTCCCTGCGTAAAGGGTCAATGGGAAAGACAGTAGATGTCATTAGTCCAGATACTTAAAATTCTGGAGTTGGTAATCCATTTTTTAATCCAAATGCTGTTAATGCTAATGTTTATCATCTGGGAGTTGTTAATCCAAACATGGCCTAGAAGATATTTACAATCCTGATGTTGTTTGAGCAGATGTTTTAAACATGAATATATATTATGCAGATTCCATTGATTCAGATACTGTTCATGAAAGTATTGTTGATCCAGTTTTCTGTAATTCAGTTGTTGTTAATTCAGGTACAATTGATATGTGCTTGAGCTGGAAATTTGTAATAGTAGAGCAGTTGTTAACATTTCAAACACTAATAAACCTGTTGGACTATAACCTGGTGTCATGTGATTTCTGATCTATTAGGGAAGGTAGAGATGTGAACATTAGCAATTTTAGAGAAATCTACTAATACTTTTCGCACATGCTAACAATTCACAGACTTGCTTTACATTGCTTCTCTTCAACTGGGTAAATAGTCTTGAGATGTTTTATGAATATTTTTTAAATGCAAGCTAATGTTGTTATGGAACCATAAACAAAAGTGTGAAGTCTTCAAAAATGAGACAACAAGAGTCCAGAGACAGTACGTTCCTGTTAGGATGAAGGGCAAGGCTGGTAGGGAATGTTGGCTAACTAGAGAAATTGAGGTTCTGGTCAAGAAAAAGAAGAAAGTGTACGTCAGGTATAGACAGAGGAATCGAGTGAATCCCTAGAAGAGTATAAGGGCAGTAGGCATATACTTAAAAGGGAAATCAGGAGGGCAAAAAGATGAAGTGAGATACCTTTGGCAAAAAATGTTAAGAAGAATCTAAAAGGATTCTACACATATATTAAGTAAAAAAGGGTAACTAGGGAGAGAATAGGGCCTCTTAAAGATCAGCAAGGTGACCAATGTGTGAAGCTGCAAGAGAAGGGTGAGTTACTATACAAGTATTTTGCATCAGTGTTGACTGTGGAAAAGAACATGGAAGCTAGAGAACTTGGAGAAATAAAAAGCAATATCTTTGAAAAGTGCCCATATTACAGAGGAGGAGGTGCTGGATGTCTTAAACCACATACTGGAGGATAAATTCCCGGGACCTGATCAGGTGTACCCTAGAACTCTGTGGGAAGTGATTGCTGGGCCCCTTGCTGAGATATTTGTATCATCGATAGACATTGGTAGGTGCCAGAAGACTGAAGGTTGGCTAATGTGATGCCATTATTTAAGAAACGTGGTAAGGAAAAGGCAGGGACCGATAGACCAGTGAGCCTGACATCAGTGGTGGGTAATTAAAACGACAAATGCTGAAGATCACAGCGTCCATGGAGACAGAGCAAGCTAATGTTACAAGTCCAGATGACTCTTCATCAGAACTGAAGGGAAGTGTGAAGGGGGCAGCATTTATGCTATAGTTGGGGAGGTGGATGGGGTTAGAGTGTAGAGTGCTGGGCACTGTTAATAGTTTAGATTAACTGATCAGAATGTGAGAGTGGCAGAACAATGGTGTGTCTAACTGCCAGAATGGAAAAAAACAGACAGTCCCACTGGGGTGGGGGGAGACGAGAGAAGACATGGTGACAGAGAATATAACAAGTAAAGCTAAAAGAAAGGGAAGGAATGGGAGTTGGTTCACAATTTGAAGACGTTGAACTCAGTATTAAGTCCAGAAGGTTGCAAAGTGCCTAGCCTGAAGGTGAGATGTTGTTCCTCCAGTTTGTGCTGAGATGTGCTGAGATTCACTGGAACACTGCAGCATACCAAGGATAGACACATGGGCATGTGGGCAGGATGCTGTGTTAAAATGACTAACTACAGGAGGGTTGGGGTCATGCTTGCACACGGACTGGATGAGTTCTGCAAAGTGGTTACCCAGTCTGTGTTTGGTTTCTCCGATATAGAATAGGCCACATTGGGTGCATCAAATATAATACACAAGATTGGAGAGGTACAGGTGAAATGCTGCTTCACCTGGAAAGACAGTTTAGGCCCTTGGATGGTGAGCAGGGAGGAGGTGAAGGGGCAGGTGTTGCACCTTCTGCAGTTGCATAGGAAGGTGCCACGTGGAGGGAGGTTGGTGTTGGTGGTCAATAAATGGACTAGGGTGTAACGGAGGGAACGGTCCCTACGAAATGCAGTTGGAGAAGTGAGGGGGAGATGTGTTTGGTGGTGGCATTCTGCTGGAGTTGCCTATCATATAAGAAGGGTACGAGGTAATTGGTTTTATTAGCTGAGGCTTAGAATAGAAGAGTGTGGAGCTCATTTTAGAACTCATGTCACTGGCTGGGCCAGTATTTCTTGCCTGTCCCTAGCTGCCCTCAAGAAGGTAGTGGACAGCTGCCACCCTAAAGCGGTGCAGTCCATGTGTGCTGTGGGTTGGCCCACAATGCCCTTAGGGAGGGAATTCCAGGATTTTGACCCACTTACAGTGAAGGATAGCAATATATGTCTAAATCAGGATGGTTAGTGGTTTGAAGGGGAACTTGCAGATGGTGGCGTTCAATGTGCCTGTTATCCTTGCCCTTCTCGATGGAAGTGGTTGTGGGTTTGGAAGGTGCTGTTTGAGGATCTTTGGTGAATTTCTGCAGTGCATCTTGTAGATAGCACACACTGCTGCTACCGAGCGTCGGTGGTGGAGGGAGTGGATGTTTGTGGATGTAGTGCCAATCAAGTGGGCAGCTTTGTCCTGGATGGTGTCAAACTTCTTGAGTGTTATTGGAGCTGCGCTCATCCAGGCAAGTGGGGAGTATTCCATCACACTCCCGACTTGTGACTTGCAGATGATGGACAGGCTTTGGGGAGTCGGGTGGTGAGTTACTCAGCACAGTATTCCTAGTATTTAACCTGCTTTTGTAGCCACTGTGTTTATGTTTTGAGTTAAGTTGAATTTCTGGTCAATGGTAACCCTCTGGGATGTTGATAGTGGGGGATTCAGTGGTTGTTGCACCATTGAATATCAAGGGGCAGTGATTAGATTGTCTCTTATTGGTGACGGTCATTGCCTGGTATTTGTGTGGCACGAATGTTATTTGCCACTTGTCAGCCCAAACCTGGGTATTTTCCAGATCTTGATGTATTTTAATGTGGACAGCTTCAGTATCTGAAGAGTTGCGAATGGTGCTGAACAGTTTGCAGTCTTTGGCTACAGAATGTGATTGTACGTTTGGTCTCCTTCCATGGCAGCCAACATACACATTTTGCAGGACCTGTTCCTGCAAGAAAGAAACAATTTCTTCAGCCAGAGGGGGTGACCCTTTGGTACACATTACCACTGAAGGCTGTGGAGGTTAAGTAATTGAGTGTCTTTAAAACAGAAATAGATAGGTTCTTGATTGGTAAGGAGATCAAGGGCTACAGGTAGAAGGTAGGAGAATGGGGTTGAGAAACATATCAGCCATGATCGAATAGCAAGGCTGACTTGGGCCAAATGGCCTAATTCTGCTGCTATGTCTTGTGGTCTTGCAATTGTAGTGCTCTGCACAGTTCTGGTCACCACATTATAGTGATTGCACAAGACAGGGCACAGAGGAGGTTTATTAGGATGCTGCCTGGGCTAGAGGATCTGAACTATGAGGAAAGATTAGACTGGGTTTCTCTTCCATGGAGCAGCAAAAGTTGAGATGAGTCCTAATAGAAGTGTATTAGATTCTGAGGGACATGGTTAGGGTGGATAAGAAGGCATTTTTTTTCTATTAGTCAAGATGTCAATAAACTGGGGACATAGTTTTAAGGTAAGAGGAAGAAGGCGAAGAAGTGAGTTGAGGAGAATTCTTCTTACTCAGAGGGTAGTGGGAGTTTGGAACTCACTGCCTGGGAGGGTGGTTGAGGCAGGAAACCTCACAACCTCATACCAAGTACTTGGATGAACCACTTGAAATGTCATAACATTAAAGGCAGTGGACCATGTGTAGGAAGTGGGTCTCGTAAAGATTTTGAGTCGTCGTGTCAGTGTAGACCTGATGGGTCAAAGGGCCTCTTCTGTACTGTATGAATGTGTAATTCTCTGAGTACTTTATGTCGTATCCATCTTTCAGATAAGATGTTAAAATAGCACCTCATCTGCCTTTGTGGTGCATGTAAACAATCCTCTGACATTATTGAGAAGAGGTCTAGGTCGATATTTATCACAAAATCCACATCACTGCAATTGTTAATCTAGTTATGTATTGTTTTGCTGTGTGGGAGAGCTTGTTGGGCAAAGAATGGTTACAGCTCTTAAATGATCACAATTGCTACACTTCAAAAATACTTCATTGGCTGTAAAGTGCATTGCCACATCCTGAAGTCATGAATGGTGCTATAGAAATGAAAGCCGTACTTTTTCCTCTCTGTTTATGTGTAACGCAAGTTAAATAAAAAGAGATTGCATGAATTCATCAATAGAGGACAATGTTGAGAGAATGCAAAATTATTCTTTCCAACATGATGTACTGTGAGGATAACATTTTCTCAAACTTATTATGTTCAGACCCTTAGCATAATGATGGCTATGAAATGTGAAACAAATATTGGCTGTTGAATTTATTTTATCTGGGCAGCCACATTTCTCCTTGAGCATGAGGAGGAGTAGATGAACAGGACTGTTTATCAATTCCTGGAGAGTTTAAAGCTTGTTGGTCTATCCTTCTGTTGCTTATAACAATATCGAATATTCTCAATTCATCAGCTAGAGGTAATGTTCTGGGAATCATAAAGCTTCTAATTTCACCAGAGATAATCTGTTCGTATAAACTTTATTGTCCCTGAGCTGTTGTGCTATTGCCAGAACGGAGTTGAATTTACTATTATGCATCGGCCCCATGAGGAGCAGTGAGACAGCAGTATCTTACGCAGTTGTTTAGCCACAGAAATATGAAGTTAATCTGTTGTGGTTGTGCAGAATCGTCACAGTGTGGTGTACATCACTTGCAATGTCTCTTAGCTCAAACCTCAAGCCTGCCCAATATGAAACAACAGCCCATTGATTTTCCTTTACCTTTTACCTTTACCTTTTTCCTTCAAGTTAGCTCCTCTCTTGCTCTCTCCATAGGGATTTATAACTTCAAATCATTGGAAGGATGTCCAAATGGTCAGTGAAGACATTCTCTCCTACCCAACATGAAAAGCACAGTTAATGAGATAGCAAGTTAAGGCGAGTGGTTAGCACTGCTGCCTCACAGCACCAGGGACTCGGATTCAATTCCTCCATCAGGCAACTGTCTGTGTGGAGCTTGCACATTCTCCACGTGTCTGCATGGAGCACCCAGCAGAAACCCATGCAGACACAGGGAGAACATGCAAACTTCACTGTGCCATCCCCTGTTAACCACTGCGCCATCTTGCCACCCCGTTGGCCATGCTAAATTGTCCATAATGTCCAGGGATAGTTGGGTCAGCCATGGAAAATGCAGGGTTATGGGGATAGAGTGGGTTTGTGTGGGATGCTCTTTGGACAGTTGGTGTGGACTCGATGGACTGAATAGTCTGCATCATAGGCCTTCTATGATTTCCTTATGAGAACCAACAGAAAATCAAGAGGAAGGGCTTTCTCAGGGAAAATTTCCTTTCTCAGCTGGAGTACTGTGTACAGGTCTGGGCACCTCATTATAACACTGATGTGAATACATTGGAGAGAGTGTAGAAGAGGTGCATATGAATGGCTCCTGCAATGAGGTACTTCAGTTATGAGATTTTAGATACCTCCATCATGAGGCTAGGATGGAGAGTTTGGGACTGTTCTCCTTGGAGAGACAGATGCTGAGAGGAGATCTGATGGAGTTTTTCAAAATCATAAGCGGGCTGGATTAAGTGGTTTGCAAAGTGTTCTGGTTCAAGTAGCAAAGGGGACAGAATTAAAGTGATCTGCAAAAGAAGCAAAAGCAAGGTAAGAAAAGAAAAACTTTCTCACCCAGTGAGCAGTTAGTGTCTGGAATGCACTGCCTGGTAATGTGATGGAGGCATGTTCAACTGAGGCATGTTCAACTGAGGCATCTAAGAGGGTATTGGATGGTTATTTAAATAGAAACAATGTGTAAGGTTTGGGGATTGGCTGTAGATAATGATGCTCATTTTAAGAGCAGGTGCAGAAACAATGAGGTTGAATGGCCTCCTACTGAGCTGTCATAATTCAGTAATTCCGTGATTCCCTGTCCTTTTATTTTCACCCATTGTAAGTGGGGGTTACTCGCTATGCCAGCATTTATTGCCCATTTCTTCCCATTGGGAAAGTGGTGGTGAGCTGCTTTCTTGAACCGCTGCATGCCACGTGCTCTAGGTAGACCCACAATGTCATTAGGGAGTGAATCCTGAGATTTTGACCCAATGACAGTGAAGGAATAGCAATATATTTCCAAGTCAAGATGGTGAGTAGTTTGGAGGGGAACCTGCAGGGTTGGTGTTCCCATGTATCTGCTATCCCTGTCCTTCAGATATTAGTGACAGTGGGTTTGGAGAATTACTTACGTCTTGTGCTGAAGTCTCCAGAACCTATTTACCTGGGTTTAGCAGATAGGAAGAGTGTAGTGATTGGAGCCGGGTAGATCTTGTTGACTATTGCGGTGGTTAACCTAAGCTAATCAGGAAGCCCTCATTGACCAATATAAACAGGGAATGTACAATCTCCTCAGCTCAGGGGACTGACTCCAAGATGGCTGGTCAGAGCCCATGTACTGTGCGCAAGTAAATAAAGGGTGACTTGGTGAAGGGATACTGGCCTCTGTGCTGTTGTTTCAGTATTGAATCACGTGGGGGAATACTGGGGAAAAACCTTTCCCTTGTATCTCCATTACCAGATGAAGATCAAAAGTTTTATTCATCATTCTTTCAACCTTAAGGAGGTTGGGGGTCACAGACATAATGTCAGAGGTTTTGACAATGTGTGAGTGGTCATTAACCATGTACAGGTATCACTGACTGAGTGCAATGAGTGTCAATGACAAAATGGAGAGGTGCATGAATGAGTGAAAGGGGGCATTGATATAACTCAGAGGTCACTGATCACTAAGAAACTCATTGTGAAGATCAGTGCTGGTGCAAATTAACATGTGAAAGCCCAACATTCACAAATACTTGACCCCGTCTCATTGAGTCATAGAGCCATACAGCACAGGAACAGGTCCTTCGGCCCAATAATTGTAGCCACCTCTACCACTTCCTTTGGTGCTCAATCCATTTACGCACCCACCACTGTGTGAAAAAGTTGCCTTTCAGGTCCCTTTTAAATCTCTCCCCTCTCACCTTAAATCTATGCCCTCTAGTTTTGGACTCCCCTACTCTGAGGAAAAGGTTCCCCTCCAAACTACTCACCATCTTGACTTGGAAATATATTGCTATTCCTTGGCTATTAACCATATTGATACCCCTCATGACTTTATAAATGCCTATAAGGTCACCTCTCAACTTCCTACGCTCCAGGGAAAAAAGTCCCGGCCTATCCAGCTCCTCCTTATAACTCAAACCTTCCAGTCCCGGGAACATCCTTGTAAATATTTTTTGCACCCTTTCCAGTTTAATAGTATCCTTCCTGTGGCAGGACAATCAGAATTATCTGCAGTACTCCAAATGTGGCCTTACCAATGACTTGTTTGGTAATACATGACACCCAACTCTTATTGATGAAGGCAAATTTGCCAAATGCCCTTTTCACCACCCTGTCTACCTGTGATATCACTTTCAAGGATCTATGTACCTGCATCGGTTCCTCTGATCGACAACACTCCCCAGGGCATCACCATTAACTGTGTAAGTCTTGCCCTAGTTTGTCTCACCAAAATGAAAGCCACTGCATTTATCTGAATTAAGCTCCATCTGCCAATCCTCAGCTCACTTGCCCAGTTAATCAAGATCCTGTAGTACTCTTAGACAAGCTTCTTCATTATCCACTATACCACTAATTTTGGTGTCATCTGCAAACTTACTAATGATGCCTCCTATATTCTCATCCAAATTGTTTGTATAAGTAATGAACAATTACTTATTGTAATTTCTTCAGCCAGAGACTGGTGAATCTATGGAATTCACTGCCACAGAAGGCTGTGGAGACCAGGTCATTGAGTACATTTAAGACTGAGATAGGTAGGTTTTTGATTATCAAAGGGATCAAGGGTTACAGGGAGAAAGCGGGAGAATGGGGTTGAGGAACTTATCAGCCATGATTGAATGGCGGAGCAGACTCGATGGGCCGAATGGCCTAATTTCTGCTCCTATGTCTTATGGTCTTATGGTCTTACAATAGTGCACTCAGCACTGATCCTTGTGGCACACCATTGGTCACAGGCCTCCAGTCTGAACAACAACCCTCTACCTCTACCTCCTGTTTCCTATCATCAAGCCAGTTTTGAATCCAATTGGCTAGCTGTCCCTGGATCCCACCTTCCTACCTAGTCTACTATGCGGAACCTTGTCGAAAGCCTTTTTAAAGTTCATGTAGATAACATCGACCGCTCTGCCTTCATCTGTCTCCTTCATTGCTTCTTCAAAAAACTCAATCAAGTTTGTGAGATATAATCTCTCATGCACAAAGTCATGGTGATTATCCTGAATCAGTCCTTGCCTTTCCAAATGCATGTAAATACTGTCTCTCAGAATCTCCTCCAACAACTTGCCCACTACTAATGTGTAGTTCCCTGGCTTTTTCCTTTCTTAAATAATGGCACAACATTAGCCACCATCCTGTCTTCCAG